ACACACACACACACACACACACACACACACACACACACACACATACACACAAACACACACACACATACTGTTCTTTCCTTGGTTCATGGTAAGTACATAATCACCAATTTAGAAACCTCAAAATTACCTTTGACTCTACAACTAATTAGAACAAGTAAAAGAAAATTATAAACAAATTTCCTGTGACTCTTATTTTTCCTCGCTATTTAAATTCAATCAATCATTAATTTCTCTCCATTCCACCCCTTAGCTTTCTCTCCTGCCTCCATCTCTTACTTCGTCTGTTACACATCGTCCTGCTACGTCTTCCTTTCTTTTGATGTACCCTGTTCTTTCAGGCTGGGATGATGTTCTTTACCTAATGAATACCTATTCATCTTTTAAGATCTCTTTGGTGAAATCCTTAACACCTCCTCCTAAAATTCATCGTACCCACTACTGTGCCTCTGTGACATTTTTTACAAACCTCTGTTTTGGTACTTATAGTTTTTGCTTATAACAACCCTATGGAGTATGCATTCTTTCAGAATAATAACTGAATATTACTCTATTGCCCTTCTTTTTTTAATTTTATTTGTTCTTTTTAGGTATACATGATAGTATAATGTGTTTTGGCATAACATACATACATGGAGTATAACTTATTCTAATTAGGATCCTATTCTTGTGGTTGTACATGCTATAGAGTTACCCAGGTCTTATATTCAAATACAAGTTTAGGAAAGTCATGTTCGATTAATTCTACTATCGTTCCTATTCCTTTTCCCATTCCCTTCCCTTCATTCCCCTTTGTCTAACCAATGGACTTCTATTCTTCCCTTCCCACCTTTCCTTGTTGTGGGTTACCATCCACATATCAGAGAGAACATTTGGCCTTTGTTTTTTTTGGGATTGGCTTATTTCGCTTGCATGATATTCTCAAGTTCCATCCATTTACCAGCAAATTCCATAATTTCATTCTTCTTTATGGAATACTCCCTTGTGTATATATACCACAATTTCTTTATCCATTGAAGGGCACCTAGTTTGGTTCCATAGCTTGGCTATTTTAATTTTTGTAATTTTTTAAATTTATTTGTTCTAACTTGTTATACATGACAGAAGAATGCATTTCTATTCATAATACACAAAGGGAGCACAATTTTTCATTTCTCTGGTGAACACAAAATAGAGTCACACCATTTGTGTCTTCATACACGTACCTAGGGTAATGATATCCATCTCATTCCACCATCTTTCCAGCTCCCATACTTTTTCCCTTCCCCTCCCTCTCCTTTGCCCTATCCAAAGTTCCTCCATTCTTCCCATGCCCACTCTGATAATGAATGAGAGATAGGAAATCAATTTCATTCTACTATAGCACCACTTGTTGAAGACACTATATTTTCTTCAATGTATGTTTATGGTGCCTTTGTCTAGTATAAGATAACTGTATTTTTGTGGGTATGTGTCTTTGTCTTCTCTTCTGAACCATTGGTCTTCATGTCTTTTTGTGCCAATACCATGCTGTTTTTGTTACTGTACCTCTATAGTATAGTTTAAGGTCTGGTGTTGTGTTACTTCCTGTATCATCACTTTTCTTGTTAAGAATTGCTTTAGCTATTCTGTCTGTTGCCCTTCTTCCTGCCCCTCTGAACCTTCCCAAGTCTTCCCCTCAAAATAAATTAATAAGCAGGAGGCTGAGGCAGGAGGGTTCCAAGTTTAAGGCTAGCCTGGACAACTTAGCAAGATCCTGTCTTGAAAAAAGCAGGATGGGAGGGTTGGGGATGTAGCTCAGTGGTAAAGGGCCTCTGGATGGGGACACAGAGGACTCTCTAGCACATGTTGCCCACTTTTTCTTTCATTCCTTTACCGCATGTGATAGAATAAATCAGTCTTCACCATCATTTATTTCTTCTTTGTCCACTTCTCATAAGGATGAAACTTGGTTTGGTAACTCATCTGGAATAGATTAGTAGGAACAAAAATGTATGTCTACCTGATTCATTTGTATTTATACTTGAACTAGGGATGTAGTTCAGTGGTAGAGCACTTGCCTGGTATATATAAGACCCTGAAGAATTCAGTCTTCATCACCTCAAAACAAAACATTTATACTTGATTTTAGTGAACTTAATATTTTTCTTGGATGTTCTGGTTATTAACAAATACTATAATCCAAGAAGAGATAGCCTATGTTATGTACCATAGAGTTATTTCTTATGCCCTTTCAGAAATCTCTCTTTTGCGATGGGGGCAAACTGCCTCCACAACTCCCAAGTCTATTCATCTTACCCATGAATAATGTTTCCCCTTCATATCAGAGATACATGAAAAGTAGTATATAAAATTCAGACTCTGTTGCAGCCTCAGAACTAAAACAAGTATATATAGAGAGGAGTGGTTATTTTTTGGAGGTAATAGAGTCTATCTGGTTTTGGTAGGAGTCTTTGTGGAGCAGTCACGATTCAGTCAAACACTAAATAAAACATTTTTTCAAATGTTCTGTAACTTCTATGGAGACATTGTTTACATTTACCAGATTGTAGTGTAGGAATGAATTCAAGTACTGGCATGTGCTTTGCTGGCAGGAAAATTTATCTTGAGCCTTGGTAAATAAAAGTTTTTGATGCTGTTGAGCCTGAACTTTTGCACTTCTGCCTGTTATTCAGATTAACACACCCAGAGGTTCCTTATGGCAGTGGAGCTACATCATCCACCAACAATCCAGAATTTGTAGAGGATCTGTCCCAAGGTCAGTTGCTTCAGAATGAGTCTTCAAACGCTGCAGATGGCAATGAACAGAGACATGAAGATGAGGTAAGCTGAGGTCTCCTGTCACTGTCCTCTGAAACTTCCAAAGAAGCAGTCAGCAAAGAAGGTGTTGATTGAGGTGTTCATCGTCTGGCTTCTTACCTTCTTGAGATGAAACCTGCAGAATTTTCGATTGTATATTTCTTGTTTCAGAACCATGTTAATGACTTTAATGACAGACTGTTTTTTTCCCCTAACTTAAGAAATTATAGCTGGGTGTAGCTGTGTATTCTTAGCAGCTTGGGAGGTTAAGGCAGGAGGATCGTGAGTTCAAAACCAGCCTCAGCAACTTAGCAAGGCCCTAAGCAACTTAGCAAGACCTTTTCTTAAAATTAAATATTTTAAAAAAAGGCTGGGGATGTGGCTCAGTGATTGAGTACCCCTGGATTCGATCTCTGATACCAAAAAAGAGAAAAAGAAAGTAAGAAACTAAAGCTACTTCATATTAGACTACTCAACAAATGCTTATTGGGGCTGGGGATGTAAGCTAAGTAGTAGAGTGCTTGCCTAGCATGTGCAAGGCTTTGGGGTCAGTCCCCATTACCACAAACAAACAAAATCAACAAATACTTCTTGGATGAGTGAATTACTTAATTAAATAAGTAATTAATGAGAAGACCACATGCCCTTGTCCAGAACCCTTCTGCTCACCAAGTGCTGCATCATGGAGCCTTATGTGCCCAAATATTTTTATATCATCACCAACTTTACCCTCCCATATGAACCGCCTTTTTCTGTTTTCACATGAAGGTTCCATATGGGCTTGGACTTTCCGTGTGCCTTACAAATGACTGATTACATTGTGTAGGAGGTTTTTTTGTTGTGTTTTTATTGCTCTATTGCCCAGGCTGATCTCAAATTCCTGAGCTCAAGGATCCTCCTGCTTCAGCCTCTTGAGTTCTGAGACTACAGATGCATGTCACTGTACCAAGCTACATTGTTTTAAAGTACTCTTCTTTTTTATAGCTGGGAAAGGGTACCATCATTGATTTTTACTATATTATTACTTTAAAAGAGCTGATTTTTTTCATCTATTCTGTTGGCATTTTTTTTTCCTTGCATTACTGGGATTGAGCCCAGGGGTATTCTACCTCTGAGCTACATCCCCAGCCCTTTTCATTTTTTTATTTTAAGACAGGGTCTGATTTAGTTGCCCATACTTGCCTTGAACTTGTGATCCTCCTGCCTCAACCTCTGGAGTAGCTGAAATTACAGGCATACGCTATCATACCTAGCTAACTTTGGCATTCTTTTTTTTTAATATTTTTTAATTGTTAATAGACCTTTATTTTATTCCTTTATTTATATGACATGCCGAGAATCAAACCCAGTGCCTCATACATGCTAGGCAAATGTTCTACCACTGAGCCATAACCCCAGCTCTGACTTTTGGCATTCTTAAAGGTTATAATGAGTTTTTAAAAACTTTAAAATTGTAGCAGCTTTAGTTATCTATTTATGCATGTGCATATGTATGTGTGTGTAGTATTGGGGATTGAGCCCAAGACCTTGGTCATGTTGAGCACATGCTTTACAAATGAACTACATGTCCAGCCCTCTTAGCTTTAATGCTACCAGGTTTATTTTAAATAAATATAAATAATACCAAAAGATATTTTCCAAATTGGGAATTATTGAACCACATTTATATATTTGGAGGAGTACAATATTATAATTAATTAATACTTAGATTTTTTTGTCCCTTTTTGTTTATCTTTCTTTTCTTGAAATAAAAATGAACCAGGATTGTGGCTCATTGGTAGATCGCTTGCCTAGCAAGTCTGAGGCACTGGGTTTAATCCCCAGCACCACATAAAAACAAATAAAATAAAAGTATAGCAGTGGGTTGGGGTTGTGGCTCAGTGGTAGAGCACTTGCCTTGCACACATGAGGCACTGGGTTTGATCCTCAGCGCCACATAAAAATAAATAAATAAAGATATTATGTCCATCTACAACTTAAAAAATAAAAATAAATAAATAAATTAAAATATTGCAGCTAAATTATATATAAAATCTTGTATCCATAAAACATTATTAACTGATAGGTCCTGTGTATGTTAAATTATGAAGCAAAAAACTGGATGTACCTTAATTCTCCTTTAAAAGGCCAAGTAAAAATGCCCAAGGTAAAACATCAGTAATACTGCAATCCCTTTTTTTTTCTTTTTCAAAGGTGATTTAGTCTCTGAATTAACTAAAAATTCAATATATAAAGACCTCTGGCTTCATAAAATATACATCTTAAGGACCAAATCATCAAGTTAAAAAACAGTCTTCATTTTAGGGTATATTATACATATTGAAATTTTTCAAGACCTAGATATTAATTAAAAAATCTAATGCTCTTTGCAGTGGAAAAGAAACTTTTTGAATAGTATCAGTGGAAAACAACTGCATGAATTATTATTAATCCCTGTGTACAGCTTGTCTCTCCTTTTGCCCTTTGCATATGACAGCATTTTATTCTGGTCTGTGACATTGTTTGTCTCTCTGGCACAGTGCTGTATATGCTACTGTGCATATGTATTTAGAATATTCCCCTGTAGCTGGGTACTGCGGTACATAGCTATAATCCCAGTAACTTGGAAGAACTAAGGCAGGAGAATGCAAATTCTGGGCTAGCCTGGGAAATTTAGTGAGACCTTGTCTTAAAATTAAAGAATTTTTTAAAAAGCTAGGAATGTAGTTCATTGATAAAGCACCTTGGATTCAATCCCCAGTACTGAAGGGGAACAGGAATATTCTCTTGTCAGAACTCGGGACTTGTTAAGTATATATGAAGGCCCAAACTAGCAAGATCATGGCACCCATTATTCTCATCTTTTGGAATTAGAACAAAAATAGGCCTTTATTGTGATGTTTGTATTGTGGTGCCTCAAAAGGTCTGCAAGTGACCCATCTGGAATCCCTTCTTATTTAATCAACATTACAGTCATTTGTCCTGAGACACATCTGGAAAGCTTTAAATACCCAGGGCCTTATTCACAGAAAACTGCAACTCTTGTCCTATTTTCTTTGTTTGTGTTTGTTGTTATTGTTATTGTTATTATTGGTGATCATTGTTGTTTGGTCTTTGGGTTTTTTTTTTGGTTTTTTTTTTTTTTTTGGTTTTTTTTCTTTTCTTTGTTTTATAGCAAAGAAGTAAACGAGGAGGTTGGTCCAAAGGGAGAAAGAGGAAGAAACCTCTTCGAGACAGCAATGCACCCAAATCCCCCCTTACAGGATATGTTCGGTTCATGAATGAGCGTCGAGAACAGCTTCGAGCAAAGAGACCAGAGGTCCCATTTCCAGAAATCACAAGGATGTTAGGGAATGAATGGAGTAAACTCCCTCCTGAGGAAAAACAGGTAATTGTTCTTACTCCTGATCCTTTGCTTGCACTTGATTATATCCCAAAAATAACTTCTGTCAGAAGAACAAAGAGGATTAGACAGTTGATTTTTCAGTGTTGTCACAGCACCTAGGAGACCACAATAACAGGGTCCTTTATAACTCTTTTCTCTAGCACAGTGATTTTTAAACTACAACAAGGATTGTTACAGGGATATGAGCAGAAAGAACTCTAGGACTCCCATTAACCAAAGTAGTTCCACTTATATTTGATTTATTTGCTGAGAGTTCATATAAGATTATTTTGAAAAGAGATTCAATATTGAGAAATTAGGAAATCTATCAATGTAATTTATTTGACTGAGTTAAATGAAAAGTTATGAATTAAATGAGAAAAAAATCATTTTATAAAATTATGCAATTCACATAAGAATTTTGTTTAGGAAAAAGATTTTACTGCTTAAGTAAATTTAACCAGTATTCCAGCAAATGTAACCTACTATGGAAAATAAAGCAAGAGCTACTTGAATTCTCTCTTCTCTAAGACAGAAACTAATCATTGCCAAAATGAAACAAATCCATTTGTTAAAGAGATTGGAGGGGAATTAAGGACAAGATAGCCATGAGCTGGGTGAAGTGTCACTAAAGCAGAGTAATGATAGTGATTGTAGAATTGACTTTGGGTTAAAAGTTCCCACCCTTCTCAGAATCTGAAAGATCTATATTTCTTTTATGTCTTAAACTCTTTTATGACTTGCACTCTTTAAAATGAATTTCATATAGATTAAAACCAAATTAAAAAATTAATTGAATTTAGAAATTTTCTGAAATCAGATTAAGTTGCAACTTGAAGCTCTGTATTTATAATAGAAAGCAGTTTATATCAACCATTGATTTGGCTTTACAAAACAATGGGACCATGGGCTGAATATGCTTGGTTGTTTTCTTCTTTTTTCTTTTTCTTTATTTCAAAATTAATGCATGCTCATTGTTTAAAATTTTTTTCAGATAATACAGAAGCATTTAAACAAAAAGCCAATGTAAGAGTTATCTCTGGGGATAACCTACTTGGGTAGGACAAGGGTTTTGTGTTTGTTTAGTTTCGTTTTATTGACTTTTTTATTTGAAAATAATTTCAAGTGCACAGAAAGTTATAAGCATAAAAACAGTACAGATCACATCCAAATACCCTTCATGGAGCTTCACCTATTAGTAACACAGTTTATCCTACTTCTTCATTTGCATACAGACTCATGCTTGCACATATCCACTCTCTCTTTCTCTTGCACATGTGCACATCCACATATATACACAATTTTTTTCTGAATTATTTGAAGGTAAGCTACATACATTGTGTCCCTCTGTCCCTGATTAGCTCAGTGTGTATTTCCTAAGGATAGAGACAGTCTCTTACATAACTATAGTATACTTACCAACTTCATAATTTTATAGTAATACAGCACTTAATCTACATCCATATGTTGAGGTAACATTGTTCCTTTATAAGTTTTCTCTCCAGTACAGGTTCTTGTCTAAGGTTCAGTTTTGTCTTTAACCAGATCTCTTTAGCTTCCGTTAAAAGGAGTTATTTCCACAAACTTGCTTTGTCTTTTATAAATTTGATATTTTTTAAGAATATAATCCTTCTGTCTTCCCACACCACCAGCTCCTTCTGTTTTGTTGTTTTTACTTTAAACAGAACATTCTTCATTTTGTGTTTGTCTGATGTTTCTGTGTGGTTAAATTGTAGCTGTGCCTTCTTGGTCAGCATACTGCATAGGTAGTGTTGTACCCTTGGGTAGAAGATAGAAGCACACAGTATCCTTTTGTTCCTCATTAGTAATATTAATTTTGTTTACCTGAGAAATTTTAAAATTCTCTCTTATGATTAAATAAGTAGTCTACAAGAGACATTTTTTTCTTTAAATATTTTTTATTTGTAGTCGGACACAATAACTTTATTTGATTTATCTACGTTATGTGATGCTGAGGATCAAACCCAGCACCTTGTACATGCTGGGCAACCGCTCTACCACTGAGCCACAACCAGGAGACATTTAAGAACATGTAAACTAAAAAAAAAAAAGAACATGTAAACTGCCTCTACCACATCATAATTTCCCCTGGATCTAGCATCCATTGATGGTTTTTGCCTAATCTATTCTTTATCATTATAGTTGCAAAATGATAATTTTTTAGCTCTAGCACTCCCCCATATTTAGGAGTTGGATTTCAGTTTTCTAATCTAAGCAAGAGCCCTCCTCCTCCCCCCCTCCTTTTTTTTTTTTTTTTTTGTTATCTGGTTATTATTGGTATGATAATACGTAAGTTGTATTATATCTTTTTTTAGATATTTATTCTTAGTTCTTAGTTGTAATTGGACACAATACCTTTATTTTATTTATTTATATGTGGTGATGAGGTACGAACCCAGGGCCTCACACGTGCTAGGCGAGTGCTCTACCGCTGAGACACAACTCCAGCCCATGTGTTATATCTTTTATTAATGCTATAATAATTTCTTTTCTTCTAATGGTTTATAACTTTTTACTGTACTTAATTATTTTTGTTTTTAAATTGTCCTAGATTTGGCCAGTTGAATATCTTCTTCATCTAACGCTTAGGTGGAATAAAGTTTGGGGTTTTGTTTTTGTTTTTGTTTTTGTTTTGGTGCTCAACCACTGAGCCTCATCCCCAGACCTTTTTTATATTTTATTTAGAGACAGGGTCTTGCTGAATTGCTAGGGCCTCACTAAATTGCCAAGGTTGGCTTTGAACTCATGATCCTCCTATCTCAGCCTCCCAAGCCATTTGGATTACAGGTATACGCCACTGCGCCCAGCTTGTGTGGGTTTTTAGTGGGGGAAGTTTGGGGGGAGTTTGATAGTGGGTTTGAGCTCAGGAGTGCTTGACCACTGAGTCACATCCCCAGCCCTTTTTATTTTTATTTTAAAACAAGGTCTCACTAAGTTGCTGAGGTTGGCTTCTCACTCACGATCCTCCTGCCTCAGCCTCCATAGTTGCTGGGATGACAGAATTGTGTCACTGTGCCCAGCCTGTGTAACAAGGTTTTTAACATAATTTCTCTCATTCTGGTTTGAGTTCACTTAGAAGCAATATCTTTATACTTTCTTATACCTATTTTGATGAATGAAGAGGACAAAGGCATTAAAAATAGTCCTAGTAAGTCAATGAACTTTGTTTAAATAATTAATAGCATAAAACAATCAAAGCATGTAGATGCAGGCTCTTTCAAAGTAGTCCATTTTTAGGCACATAGGATGAGGTCATTCTTTTTATGTTCTTTGTTTCTGGCTTTAGTGCTCTACTCTTGTAGCTCTTAAAAAGCCAATTGATGTATGAGGTCATTCCCTCAAAATGAGTTGGGGATAGAGAAACAAAGTAATACTCCTTTCCCTCCCCTGGGAAGGCTAAGTGTGCCTATGTGGATTCTAGAGGCCATGTGGAGTTCTTTCTGTGAGGTTAGAGGAATAACTGTAATCATTGGTGAATTTTTTATGAGTGTGATCTCAATAGAATTTATCTTCGTTAAACTAGAAAAGGTAATAAATGTTCTAGAAAGTGAGAATCACTCATTTCTTTATATAATTGAGATTGTATTCTATTTCTTGATTCTCCCTTAAACCATCTTTTCTGAATACTCTTTTCTATATTATAATTGTCCTGTTTTCTTCAAAGTTATTGTTGATATTTTACCTAAATAATCTCTCAGTTTCTTAAATTTAACTCCACATTTCTTTCCTAGCGCTACCTTGATGAAGCAGACAGAGATAAGGAGCGTTACATGAAGGAACTGGAGCAATATCAGAAGACAGAAGCCTACAAAGTCTTTAGTAGAAAAACTCAGGACCGTCAGAAAGGCAAATCTCACAGGCAAGGTATCAGTACCAGAACCAAGTTCATTTGCAGTTGGTCATGCATGGCATAATGTCATAAAAAACAAATGTTAAGAGTGACAAATAGGGCTGGGGTTGTGACTCAGCGGTAGAGCGCTCGTCTAACACGTGCAAGGGCTTGGGTTCAATCCTCAGCACCACATAAATATATATAAATAAATAAAGGTATTGTGTCCAACTACTTCTAAAAAATAAATATTTTTTAAAAGTGACAAATATAAAGGACATTTCTATTATTTCTTTTTTATCCTATATTAACTAACAAGTATTATCTTTGAATTTTATTAAAATCATTTTGCTCTCATTTAGAAATTTCTATCAAATTTCCATATCTGGCATCAACAATTTGGCTTGTGCACCAAGTCCAATATTAATGCCTGCCCTTCTTTTCCTAATTCTCATTTTAGGTATTTTTCTGTCTCTAAATAAGTCTGTCTACTAAACTATATAGCTGACTTGCTCTGACACTTCTAAGCCTTTCAAGTGCCATCTCTTCCAGCCCTCAGTGATCCTATCCATTTATTCATTCATTCGTTTTTTTCATGTCTGTATGCATGCATTCAGAAAATATTTATTGAAGCCATGTGTGGTGGTATACTCCTGTAATCCCAGTAACTTGGGAGGCTGAGACAATAGGATCTCAAGTTTGAGTCCAGCCTCAGCAACTTAGTGAGACTCTGTCTCAAGATGAAATGGAAAAAGTGCTGTGGATATAGCTCAGTGGTAGAGCACCTCTGGGTTCAATCCCTAGTATTGGAAAAAAAAAAAAATTGTTAAGCACCTTCTGTTAAACACTAGGCTCTCTTCTAGCTGTTAATAATGAAGTAGTTAATAAAATGGACAAAATCCCTGATTTCATGGTTATTTATTCTCTGTTAAAATTGTTCATCACACCCTTATAAGTATTGCTTCAAGTTCCCCTTCTTCAGGAAACGCTGCCAAAGAAGCACCACCCACAACTAGTCTGTCATGCCTCAGTCATTGCATCTTCTCCATGTTCAGGCATTTTGCTTGCCAAAACCATAGTGTTATACAAACAGCCTTTGGTATGTGTTTCCTGCCTACCCTCCCACCTTATTCTCTTCAAGCATAAGAACTGTATCTGTTGTTCTCTTATGCCTGTGTGCTCTGTAAGTATTGGGTTCTCTTTAATCTTTGTTGACTAACTTATTAATAAAGCCACGAGGGAAAATATTGTATGTTGTGAGAGTACATATACAGATAGGTTTTTGTAGTTTGGAACAGTTATATGCCTGGGTTTTGTTACTATTTTCGTTTTTTGACTTAATGTTTTCCTTTTCTTTCATATTTTTAGATGCAGCCCGACAGGCCACTCATGATCATGAGGTAAATAGCCTTCTGTCTATATATCATGCATATATTTATAATAATGTTGTTCTTTGAAATGCTTTTTGGATTTTTTTTTTTTTAATCAATAGCAGGGTGTTTCCTATCCCAGGATTCATTTGGGTTAGTTGCTTTAGCGCAGAGGTTCTTAACATATGGCAGACACTTAGGTTTTGAGTCTGCTTTTGAACTACACCCACTAGTCCCAATTCATTCCTGTGGTCTGAGAATTTTATTGACTTTAAATGCCAAAGATGGCTGTAATTCAGAGTGAGATATAGAAATGAGTACCAGATGAAGGGTCTGAACTGATCATAGTTTATCATCACAAAATATCATAATCTCATTCTCAGGATGTTGTTTAGGTAATCCAGCATTTGGTTAAGATGAACTTTTTTTTTTTTTTTTTTTGGTACAAACAATTGAACCCGGGGTGCTCAACCACTGAGCCATATCCCCAGCCCTTTTTTATATTTTATTTCGACATAGGGTCTCTGAGTTGCTTAGGGCCACACGAAATTGCTGAGGATGGCTTTGAATTCACAATCCTCCTGCCTCAGCCTCCTGAGACACTGGAATTACAGGCATGTGCCACCATGCCCAGCCGAGATGAACTATTTAACTACAATGTCGATGGAACACAACTGACAGTAGCTCAATTCCTATACTTTCTTTCCTGTTGCCTCATCTCATTCATACTGTTTTTATGAAAGGTCTCTTTCTTTTCATTCTATTCAACCTCATCCATAGAATTCAGGCCTATGTTCCTCTGAATGTACAAGATTTAAGCCTGTGTGTGATGACCATGCTGTGTATATGCTTTAAATATATATGGCTATAACAAAATAAAATCCATGGTAATTTCATGCTTTAAAATGTTCAGTGACTCCTTGTTGCTTTCCAGATCACATTCGTACTCCACATTCAGGGTTTTCTGTAATTAAGTTCCAACTTCTAAATACCTAATCTCCATTTCCTACTCACTGCCTTCTAGGTGCCCTGCCCTGCTCTGCCTGAGGCCTGTGCTCTTCTTATTTCATTGATGAGAATACTTTCCCTCCCTCACACAGTTCTTCACCTCCCCACTCGCCCCCTCTTTTCCATGAGACAGGCTTCTAGTCATCTTTCAAACCCCTAGTTTGCTTCCATTTCCTCCCACTTCCTTTAACCCCCACTGCTCTCAGTATGTCTCTTATGCTCTGGCTGCTCTGACCCTGTGTTGAGGCTCTTACTTCTGTTATTCACTCAGGATTAGGATCTCTCTGAGGGTAGAATTCTCTGAGGTCTAGTTTCTGTCTTTTTATCCAGCTCTGTACCACATAACATGAAGCCCTGGCATGGAGCCTGTCCAAAAATACTTACTGATTTTTACATAAGAACTTAAAGTTTACTTGAAATAACAATGGGAATTTGAAAAAGAGTTTTCTTGTACTCTTTTATAGTTTTTTGTTTGTTTATTTGTTTGTTTTGTTTTGTTTTGTTTTGTTTTTTGGGTACTGGGAATTGAACCCAAAGGCACTTTATCACTGAGCCACATCCTCAGCCTTTTTTATTTTTATTTTGAGTCATGGTCTCACTAAGTTTTAGGGCTTCACTAAATTGCTGAGCCTGGCCTTGAACTTGTAATCCTACTGCATCAGCCTCCTTAGTTACTGGGATTACAGCTGTGTGTCTCTACATCCTGCTTATATACTCTTTTACAGATATTTTGATGTTTACTAAATTAAGAAAATTATTTCTTCAAATTAAAAACTTATTTATCTTGGGACTGGGGTTGTGGCTCAGTGGTAGAGCATTTGCCTAGCATGTGTGAGGCACTCAGTTCAATTCTCAGCACCACATATAAGTAAATAAATAAAATAAGGGTCCATCAAAAACTAAAAAATACATATTAAAAAAACTTATTTATCTTGAGGTTGTAGTTCTTGTACCTGATTTGATCTTGGTAACCTTCAAAACATGCAGAAAATATTCAGATTCACAAAACAAATAGAAGTATTACTATTCATGAATTATAAAGTAGGAAACATAATAAATATTAGCATTTTACTCTTCACATAAATCCTACTTGAATAGTTATATATAAGATCTCTGTGCTCTAATTTACGTAAAGTGTTATGAATATTTTTGCTTGAAAAAGTTTGTATGTATACTTTGTATTTTAACTGATGATAAGAAAAATTTTGCAACATTATTCAATTATCAGCACTTGTATAATTAGTATTTATTTCTCTCTTCCTTCATTTGTATGTCCACTCACCAGTGTCATGAATATCCTTTCTCCTTTTTTCCCTTACTATGTTGCATCTCTGTCCTTAATGGTTACAAAAGAGAATTTGGACAGTAATGTGAAACAATAGGTCTCACATTTTCTAATCAGTCACTAACTCATTCCATCAGCCTGGGGTTTTCCTGGCCAAATTGTATGTGCCATTTAGGCACAGTCAAAAAGATGTAGTAAATTCAATCCATTGGAGAAGCTGCTACTGATGATTTGAGAAGTAAAGTTTTTTATTAAAATACATTGTATGATACGAATGTTTCTGATTTCTATGATTTATGTGATTTTTTTTTCCTATTTGAGGATCAGATACTTAAAGTTTAAAAAGAAAGAAAAGGTAGGTAGGGGGAAAACCAGCAGTAGGTTATATATGCCTGTCTATTGCTGTGCCCATATCAGGATAATGGTCTCAGCCAGGCAAGGTGGCGCATGCTCATAATCCCAGCTGCTAGAGAGGCTGAGGCAGGAGTATCACAGTTCAAGGCCAGCCTGGGCAACTTAAAAGAGATCCTGTCTCAAACTAAAAATAAAAGCTATAGGGATATAGATCAGTATTAGAACAGTTGCCTAGTGTCTGTAAGGCCATGAATTTAATTCTCATTACCAGAAAAAGGGATAAGCATCTCATAGGTTTTTGACCCAATTAATGTTCCCCACTTTATCAGTTTAATTTTTCAATTGAATAATATATTTGTTAAATCGGGTAATTTTTGATTGATTTGAATGTAAAAGAACTGGTTTGAATTTTTTAAAACTGTTTTAAACATAAATGTCCTTTGTGTTTAAAAGTTTTTAAAAACAATTTTTAAAAATTACTTGTAGGATGCTACTTACAAGTCACTTGTGTGTATGTATGTGTGTGTGTCTGTGTGTGTGTGTGTGTATTGAACTCAGAGCCTTATACATGCAAGGCAAGTGTTCTACCACTGCACTCCACCCCTAGCTCCTTTCTCATTTTATTTTAGTACAGAATTTGGCTAAGTTGCCTAGGCTAGCCTTGAACTTGCAGTCTTCCTACCTCAGTCTCCCAAGTAACTGGGATTAGAGGTGTATGCCACCACACCCAGCTTCTTCCATATTACTTCTTAGTGTGGCAGAAGTTTAGAAAAATGAGAAAGCACTATGGATAAAAAGCAGCCACGAAGGTCCCATTGAAAAGAAAAATGGAATTAGTCTTAAAGGTAACCACAGTTTGGGGGATGGGAGATGTTTTGAGCAGAGTTATAAGTTCATAAAAGAGAAAATGTCTTGTAAAGTGCCTACAACATAGATTCTGTATACATACACATTTACCTTATCTTATGAGGAGCAAAATGAGAAATAGAATAGTCTTCAGGCTCATCTTGGAATGGTAAGACCTCAGAGATCTTCTCAACTGACCAGTACATTTAGCTGTGAGAGAAGTGGCTTGCCTAAGATAGGAAAGAACTTACGAAGAATGACTTACTGAACTAAACTAGAGGCAGAGGTATGGCTGAAATCCAGGCCTTCTATGTAACAGTCTATCACTCTTGGTAGCACATGCCATGCTACACAGAAAAATACGGTATTGAAAGTAAAAATGGGCCTGGTTGCCTGAGGTGTTGGCAAAATTTGTTGCTAGTGAAGACAAATTATTTGGTTTATGTATAATAAAGAAACTTATTGTCTGTCTTTTTTTCTTTTTTCTTTTCATTACTAAGGATTGAACCCAGGCCTAGCACATGCTAGGCAAGTGCTTTACCACTGAGCCACATCCCCAGCCCTTTTTATTTTATTTTGAGACAGGGCTCACTCACCAGGCTAGCCTTGAACTTGTGCTCCTCCTGCCTCTGCATCCTGAGCAGAGGTACCACTGAGCAAACATGTACCACTGTGCCTGGCCAACCTTTTTGTATTTCTAAACAGAACTTGCATCTTCAGATGTTGTTACCTAGCCAGGTACTAGTGAAAGCATATAAGAACTAAAGTCAGAATGATCTGAAAGCCATTCTGCATAGCAGTGGGGCACTTCAGCCTGGTACACAATATTAAAAGTGTTTCCAAAGTAAAGGGCACTTGAGAGAAGCATATCAGACTCTGAAATTCTGGCCCTGAGCCTAGATTACAGCAAAATAGGTTCAGTTCAAAAGGGCCTCTGTTCTCTTACCCTCCACTCAATATATAGAATGAAAACTGAATTGAAGATATTCATGCTTCTGTCAAGTCAAAAGTCAACCCACTAGACCCAGGAGTTAACTAGCATTACCCTCAAGAATGTGTCTGCATCTCATGTGAAGACTAAGATAGAAACAATAATTTTGTTTCTCCTTTAATTTATGAGAAATGACAAAATGACACTCAGCCTGAACAAATTAGACCCTTTCAATGAGGAGGTAATCAAATCCTTATGATTTTAATCCCTCGAGCGATCCTTGGAGCTGCTTAAGTATATCCAAGCCCCCAGGAGGATCCTCTCCATGCCGAGTAATGCACTCAGTAATGGAAGAGTGCTGATGGTTTTTATTACCACTCTTCCGTTAAGTAGAATTTCTCTGTTGCATTCAGACACTGAACAGTTTCATTTAATTGCTTTAATGTTTCTGATTTTGCACTCTAAGAATCTGTACCAAGGGGCAGTGTGTTAATGCACCTATGTGGTGCTGTCCTTTGCCCTTACATCATTAGCTTGGCTTGGATTGCTCTAGCAAAGAAAAGAACAGAACTTCCAGTCTGAGGGAGTTGAGACCTTGGAGAGGGATCTTTGTACTGTGAAAATGGGAGCCAGGCACCCACACTTACCCCTCTGACTGGCAATCACTGAAAAAACTGATCTCATATATGGATGTGCAGTTAAATAGGAGACTGAAAAGGTAGGATGATTAAAGTCATAACACTTATCCTGAGTCACTTGTGGACTTGTGCTTGATGTTACACTTGTGCATGTTGGGATTGTGTGTCCAAAATTTTCTGCTTTCCTGCAGCAACCCAGTAAGAGTTAAAGTGTTAAGTAATCCAGCAGAATGGAGAGAAAGCCACTGGGAAATGTGTCTAAGATCACTTCTGGAACCAGCCTTTCTTGTCCATACATTAGTTCTTTTTGAAATCCACTAGAAACTGGCTTGAGGTAGAGCTTTACAAGTTGAAACTTGGGGCTTTCAAGGATAATTTGTTATTTTTAAATTACTCTAGGAAACTTTGCTTTCTTTCATTAGAAAGAAAAAAGGGTAAAATTAAGTTCCCTGAAATGTTTCTCAAGTAAATACATAGTTTAGCATATTTCCATCTTAAATATCTACCTTGACCTCCTGCCACTGCCAGGCAGGCCATGCCTCTCGCCCCGCTTCCTAAGCAGATACCACTGTGAAACCAGAGCCTGGCTGTTGGGATTCCCTCAGAGGCTCCTAATTGCTTGGGCACAAAGTGTCTTGGAGTTCAAACACAAAAGCTAGTGGTAACAATAAGAGAAAAGATACATTCAGTCTCTAGCTTTAAACATGTTTATTTGGACCATTTCTAAGTATTGTTTACTGGTTTTCATGTTATAAAGTTTTGGAGTCTTCAGTTTCACTAATAATTTCATCAGTACTTGTTCCCTGCTGTTCCCTTTATCATTCTTACGTTGTACAAGATTTTGAACACTATGCCAAGACACTTAAGACTTATATTCATTATACTTTGAACTTTAAATTCTTTGCAGAAATATCATCCAAACCATCTTGAAATATTGACTTTATATTCTAAGTGTCATTGTTGAATATATTTTGTGTGGTTTTGTGAGACTTTTAATGGTTTATTGGTGAATTAATGTTAGACTTTGTTATTCTTTTGTATCCCACACAATTCTTAACTCTCATTTGTAGAGGCTGATTATTTCTGACTTCTTGGTTTTCTTCATTTGTTTTTCCTGTGTCTGAAGAAAGGCTACAAGAGCCTCAAAGATAGACTACCCCACTGGAAGTACATAGAAGTACCAGTGGAGTACCATTATTATTGCTTGTGGCTTGGAAGATCTCTGTTCAGAATTCTTGCTGTCCACTCTGAAAATTTGGATTGCACAGTCCTATCTCAGCATTTTAGATGCATAACCAAGAGACAGGACTGAAAAACACCTTTTCTCAATCCCTACCTCAGCCACTCTCACAACTATATACAGTTGACTATTCAAAACACAAATGGCTTCTAAATTCTCTTATTAGAGAAATACATGTAGTTCGTTTTAGGGTTTCTCATTGCATAGCACCTAAGAGAACTGAGTACTTAACCAGCTTGAGCTCTGTAAGTTTGATTCTAATGAAAAGGTGAATGCATTTCCCTTACAGGCTCATCTGGACTGATTCCCTTTCACCCTATTTCTTTAAGGAAGACATGATCATTGTGCCTCAGGCACTATTATTTAATTTAGCTTCTGTTTAATAATTAACTTTGTTCTTGATTCACAGAAAGAAACAGAGGTAAAGGAACGGTCTGTTTTTGACATTCCTATATTTACAGAGGAATTCCTGAACCACAGCAAAGGTGATTACTGCAGTGTTTTTTGTGTCCCTCGGGTTTGACAGGGGTTTTAGTTCTCAGGAGGAGTTCATTGCTCAAAATCAGTGATGGCGGTAGTTCTCCTTAGGACTAGTCTGGAAGAATAACTGTTCTTCTTTCTCCCCATAGTAGAGGTAGTTACTCAAAGACTAGTGAAAGAGAGCGGGGTCAGTGTTGTCAAAGCTTCTTTGGTCTCTGGATCCAAAGAAATTAATGTAAATCACTAATGCAGTTGCTTTTAGATGTGTAGCCTGCACCAGTGAAAGCTTAGTTGGGAATCCAAAGTATAAAGTAAGTGATTGCAAAGCTGATCCCATTGCAGTACAGATGGGTACCCACAGCTGTGCTTGGCCAATCTCCCAGGATCCCCCTGCGAAGCCCCTCCGGTTTCTCATTGCACAATTTTAAAAAGCCAAATCTACAAACAAACAAACAAAAAATTCAAGGAATTGCCACTGTTTGTTGCAGTCTTATATACAGAATGTACAGCTTTAAGAATTAAAATAGCTCTGTGGAACCAGGCGTTTCAGTGCTGAATTGCTATCTGGAGCGCTGTAATGAGAATAGGGAGATGAGATGGGGGTAGCTAATGAGAGACAGCTAAGCAGAACTTCTTTATAAAGAGTCATTGGGACTCCTCGGAGACTCCTTCTTGTGCTGCATGTGTTCTGGTGTGGGGGGTGTCCTCAGCTCGGGAGGCAGAGCTCCGCCAGCTTCGTAAATCCAACATGGAGTTTGAGGAGAGGAATGCAGCCCTGCAAAAACACGTGGAGAGCATGCGCACAGCGGTGGAGAAGCTGGAGGTGGATGTGATCCAGGAGAGGAGCCGCAACACAGTCCTGCAGCAGCACCTGGAGACCCTGCGGCAGGTGTTGACCAGCAGCTTTGCCAGCATGCCCTTACCTGGTAATTGCACCCTACCTGGTAATTGCACCCTACCTAGAGCCGGGTTGGGAGGTTGCTCTTTATGTTTGTATTTGTATGGGGAGATTGAAATCTCCCCCAAAGCGAAAATCAATAAAATATTTTCCCTCCTCAGGATTTTCTGTGAGTTATGTGATAGAATGTCAACATTGGCTAAAATCATCCAAAATTTCAGGTTCTCTGATCATTTAAATTTTTGTCCTTTTTTGTTTTGTTTTGTTTTGTTTTAATATAAACTATTTTCCTTTCTGTTAAACTTAAATTGATATTCAAAACATGGAAGCAGTAGTAAAGGTTGAAGAGAGCACTTTCTCTTAGGTATATTTGCTTGCCTTGTAGGGGTGTGTGTGTGTGTATAAAATGGGAAGGAAGAAGAAACAAGCACTGGTATTTTTTATATACTCTTTCATTTTGAGGAAAGTCACAACAGAAAGTTAATGGAGTCTCTTTTTGTTATATACAGCTGAGTACTCATACATACTGTAGTATATAGCCTGTCTGTTCATTTAGAGTATGTGGATTTACTTCATTTCTTTGAAGTCTACAAGTCTCACCTATAGAATTAAAATCTGCCTGTGGAGCAGACCACATTAGAGTCACAGTTTGTTTTTCTGTGGAGTCCCTTAAATGTTTTGTAGCTGAACTGAATTGGAAAGATTTTCTTATTCTTTCTCTTCTTGTCTCACTTCAGGAAGTGGAGAGACACCAACAGTGGACACCATTGACTCATACATGAACAGACTGCACAGTATTATCTTAGCTAATCCCCAGGACAATGAAAACTTCATAGCCACAGTTCGAGAAGTTGTGAACAGGCTCGATCGTTAGGGACTGGTGAGTGCTCGCTGATAAGACTCATACGCCAGCACATCATCAAAAATAAGATGTCATCAGACTTTATTGGTGCTACTAAAACTGTAGAATTATATTGAATGAATGAGATAGAAACTTGATTTAGGTTCCTGTTGCATGGTTGCTAAAAGTCTTTCTAAATGATATTAGAAAATTAAATCAAAACAGTTTTTTCTCATGCATGCCTCGGAATAATTCAAGGAAAAAACATGACTTTGTGATTGGACTTCAGTTCTGGGTATACAACTTATTCTTTCTTGGATGGTTTTGTTTTGTTTTGGCTTTTTTTGCTTGTTTTTTTAACAGTACTAGAATCTGAACCCAGGGGCACGGCACTTTACCACTGAGCCACATCCCTAGCCCTTTAAATTCTTTATTTTGAAATAGTGTCTTGCTAAATTGCTGAGGCTGCTTTGAACTTGGGATCCTCCTGCCATTTATTCTTAGGTATTAGTTTCTAAAGGATCTTGAAGACTGGTGAGAAACTTAGAAGAAATCATTCCCAAAGTAGCTCTCAGAACAAAATAAATATCACTTAATTGTTAATCTTTCTTCTCACTGAAAAATATTAATGATAATTTGTAAGTAGTCAGTGAGAAACTGTATTATATGAGCCTACATACGTAAAAAGCATTCTCATTCACCACTCATTAACTCATTATGTTAAATGCTGATGTGAACTAACTGTACAGTGAATGTGAATGCCTTGATTTTAAAAGATTGAAAAAATTGTACTCAATAAGCAAAAAGAGACAAGAGAGAAAATAAGCTTTTAAAAAATATATTCAACAAATGACTAGTAGTGTTGCATCTTTTAAAGGAGAAAATAACTGCGTTCTCAGAACGAACTCACCCAAGCAAACTTTTTGGTAATAATGGTAAGTCGTCATAACTTGTGTTAAATGAAATTAGTACTTATTCATTCAAATTCCTAGAGAGAGTTTCCCTTTTAGTGTGCCATCCCTAAAATGGTCAGCCCTAAGGTCTATTGACAAAATTGTTCCATGCCTGTGGACATATAAAAAATGTGGAAATCTTAAGGATTGGACCGTACAGCAAGATGGCCAAAAATGAAAACAAGTCAGTGCCAGGATGCTCCTTAGAAGCATCATGGGTTTGAATCTTTATTTGTCCAGCAGGAATGGGAGCATCCTCATATACATAATTTACATTCTAGCTTTGTTTGGATTTTGAGCAACATGCATAAGAACAAATAAAACCCATGATTCTTTATCTAATGAGGCAACATCTGCCAGCAGAGACAAAGGTAGAAGTTTTTATCCTTCTTGGTCATGCCCTTGGATGGCAACTCTGCAAGACAATTCATTATTATTTTAGCTTGCCCCAGGCTCATATGGGGAAAGGATTACCATCCTTCTAGTGAGTAGCCAGATGGAACGGACTGTACTTCTAAGAGACAGTTGGACTCCCTGCAGAATAAAGAAGTGGCATTACTGCTGCTGCTTATGAAGGAAACAGCTTGTAAATCTAGGCCTGGGATTTTCAGGAGCTCATCATCCTTCTCATTTTCACACAGTGTTTTCAATTAGCACTCTTGTAAGCTTGAAAAGAGAGAGCTGAGAGAAACAGCATGAGAGATTGTGAAAGAAAATAGTAATTGATAACATGGTGTCGCCTCACCTAGGTAGAGGGCAATGAATGCAAGAATGAAGCCAAGAGTGGTTTTCCATTTTGACCATTTTACCATTTTACCATTCAGATTCTCCTAACACTCTATCCATCTTAAGAATATAGCTGGAGTACAAGTTCTCTGAAGTGTCTTTGAAAACTGTAGATTATTACCATCGTCCTTGATTTTAATGTACAATTTTTTTAAATACATTATTTTGCAGTATTGGGGATTGAATCCAGCACTTCATATATGCTAAGCAAGCACTCAATTTTGAGACAAGGTCTCACTTAAGTTGCTGAGGCTAGCCTCCAAGTTGCAATCCTCCTAACTCAGACTCTGAGGTAGCTAGGATTACAGGCAGATGTGCCACCATGCCTGGTGACATACAAATATTTTGTCCTTGAAAAATTACCTGAAAATGTAAACTGTTATATTTACTACAGATTCTTAAAATCTACAATACAAACATAACTAATAGATATTTCCCCACACCCCCCAACTGTCAAATGAAACAATTATAAAGAGTGTGATTAATACTAGCTTGGCTTCATTATACAAATATGTACAGACAGCTAGGCCTGATGTCCCCAGCACTCATGGTGCAATTAATTACTCTGACATGAGCTTGGCAAAGGTTTCATTCCACTGTCGGGAACCATTGAGTGAAGCAAAGCTAATGGTCTGCAAGTTTTAGAGGAGCCTATCAGAGCTGGAAGGACCTTTAGAAATCCAGCACTTTATAAAGAAACTGAATCCCAAAGAGATGAGATGACATGCCTGAAACTACTGGGTAGAAGAGCACAAAAACCAGGACAAGAACACAGACATCTCAAGTCTTCTCATTCAGTGGGGCTTCTAAAATATTGCTATAATAAGGAGGCACTGTTGGAGTAGGGCAAAAGTACTAAAAATTCTTACATTAGAGCATTAAGGAAAAGTATTACACTCCATCAATTATGATGTAATAAAATTCTGACCAGCCCATTTAAAAAATATTTTTGTAGGTATATAATGAAAGAATTTCCTCAGCTTTCACCTTTCTTAGGGCTCACTGGTACCCAGTCACCAGTGGAAACAGGAGGAAGTCATGGGTGATTTTAAGTTGAGAGGTGATCACTTTACATAAGCTCTAAATCTGTTTTGCAAGCCAAGTGCAGTAGCACACGCCTGTAATACCAGTGGCTGGGGAGGTTGAGGCAGGAGGATCAAGAGTTCAAAACCAGCCTCAGCAAAAGCAAGATGCTAAGCAACACAGTGAGACACTGTCTCTAAATAAAAATTCAAAATACGGCTAGGGATGAACCTCAGTGGTTGAGTGCCCCTGAGTTCAATCCCTAGTACAAAACAAAAAATCAAAAAACTATGTGTTGCTCAATTGGTATATAATTGACTGAGGATTGACCCAAAAAAAAAAGCAGTCTTTCATATATGATTACATTTTTATCAATATAAAAATATTTATTCATTATTTGTGCACAACACATTCCTACACAAGCAGATATCCTCAGGTTTATACTGAGGAAACTTGGTTTTGATTAGACTAAAGTGGGGTCCTAATTCCCCTTATCAGTCCTGATAGTTACTTTTCAGTGTTCAGCTGCTTATTTGCTACCTCCCATTGTTGCTGAACTGGAGCAGGACCATGCTTCTCATTGAAATGTTGACAGAAACATCTCAATGAGGATGTCTGCTTGCAGCTTTACTAGCTCTTTTTTTTTTTTTTTTCCCTTTGATGCTGGGGATTGAACCCAGGGCCTTATGCATGCAAGGAAAGCACTCTACCAACTGAGCTATATCTCCAGTCCCTAGCTCTTTAATTTACATACTCCTTAACCCTTATGAAAATAAAGTAGAGCGTTTTTTAAATCCATTAACCCTAACCCCTTCTAATCTGTCTTTCCTTTTTGGTATTCCCCCACAGTATATAGGTTTTAGAGCTCCCAACTTGTTCTTGTAAGCATTTTTACTTGTGCGGAATGAGAAGCCATCCATGGATTTTTGAACTGAGTTGGAGCAGAAAGGACTGCAGATCCCTTTACTTGGGAAAGAATTGTCAGTGAGTGAAATACCTTCACCCCAGGAAGCTGCATGAGGGAGCAGCAAAAGGCACATGTGTGTGAACTTCCTGTGGAATCACCCTCCAGTGATGCTTTGAAAGTGTACAGCCACTCTCCCAAGTCTTCAGCTCCCTATCATTTCCATTTCTGCTAAAGCAGCTCTGCATATATTCTGCTGACTAGGTGACCCTGAAGCTGACATCTTCTGCAGCAGAAGGAAGACTGCCTATTGCTGCCATTCTGATTGGACCCTTTTATCAGTGGAGCTCCACTTTTCTTACCTAGCTGTCACTTTTTTTTAATGCCTTTGGGGGTGATTTTTGCTTCCCTTCACCCCCACCAAGCTGTACATCTCCATTTTCTGACCTCTGGGCCTCACTACTCAGCGGGGCTCTGAAGGAGACTTTCTCTCATTGGATGGGCCCAGTCTTCTCCCAACGTTGCCCTGCTGTGACTCCAAAGAAAGGAGCTTCTTGTTGACAGTGCCCTGTGGAGCCAGGCTGTGTTTCCTGCCCCACATGGTGCTCCGTGGGTGCCCGCCCTCAGCAGGCTCTGCGACTGCAGCCCTGAAGGAGAATGGCTGTCCTCCTCCTGCCGCCCGCTGCTCTCTGAGCATTGCTCCTGCACAGAAGCCGAGTCCCAGCCTCAGCAAGGCTCTTCTGTCTCCTCTGTTGGCAGTGTCTTGCGGAGCTTTTTTGCCAAGGAAAAGGTCATTGGTAAACACAAAGGAAAGGAGTAGTTCTCATTTGGTATTGAAAGTTGATCCTCAGTGAAAACTGTGGGAATCCCTGCTTTTTTAGGTAATGAGATCCTTGGATGTAGATAGGTAGGAGAGGCTTTGGGAATAGTCTCTTGTGCTGACTGAATGGGCACGGAGGAGTTCTCATGCCCTTTGTCTTCCTTCAGTAGCCATTAACTGCCAAATCTAGGTGGAAAAGTCAGCCTTCCCTTCCTCCCTCTACTTAGTAAGGGATTTTTGTTTTTTAACGGCAGAAGTGAAGAGGGTTCTGATTCTCTCCTCAGGGTCTTTTTTTTTGTTTGTTTCTTTCTTTTCTTTATGCTCTAGAGCACAAGGCTAAGGTGGCAGCTGAGATCTTTGGAACCAAAGCAGAGCATGCTGAGCCTATTGTCTAGGCACCCCACCACCAAAGGCAGGTGGATGGACGCGTGGCCCCTCTCATAACATGCTGACAAGCCAGGGTGCAAGCCAGAAACCCCGTCGGTTCTCGTAGCTGCACCATCCTGTCCTCTCAGCCCTGCGTTCTCCCTCTTTGTTCTTTCTTAGTCCAAAGGAAAACAACAGCAAAAGCAATAACAAAAATCTCTAAAATTTCTTATGTGGACACACATCAAATTTCCATGCACTGAAGCCCACACACCACCGCATGGCAATTTTTTAGAATAAGACCCCTTTCTTATCTATTGCTATAAAGCCAGCCAAGTCTCCTGCCTCTCTGTATTTTCCACCGTCCCTGCTCTCGTCTGCTGTTTTTGCCACTTCTCTTAGATTTCTTGCCTGCTACGTCTAAGCCAGAACTCATTGTCCATGGCAGAAGGTTGTCCAAACTGGTTCAGGAAGTTTGTGTCTGCCGCCTGCCAAATGCTTTCTGTCCTTTTTTCCTTCCTCCTAGTGTTGCTGTTTCTCCTTCCTGTGAAGTTTTGTGCAGCTTCAGTAGTACTGTTTTTATGACCATGAAAGGCTGTAACTTGGTCCAGAGGTCATCCCTGACCCTAGCTGGACACCTCACAGTGACCAGACATGTACATGAGCTCACCAGAGCCCGAAGTACCCAGTCATCAGTGCAGACGCTGCAGCTTGCTTCCCAAATGAGGGCTCTCCCAGGAGCCCCACACCCAATAAGTGTGACTGGGACTCAGCTGCCACAGAACCTCTCCTCTGCACTCACCAAGCAGGTGGAGGGGAGGTTATACCCTGGCGCAAGACCTAAGTCATGTTCCCTAATAAATCTGAAGAGGTTACTGCACTTTCATGTTCTTCTCAAGAAATAAGCTGTTGCCTATCAGTGTTTCCAATTAACTTCCTTCCTTTTATTAAAACACAAGCAGCAGCTGGGGAAAGGGAGAAAAGATTGTTTTCTTTCTGACAAATTTTAGAAAAAAATATTGTGTACATGTGTTTGGAACTGTTGAAATGCCAAGTTTTCTGTACAAGTGTTTTTGTAATTAAACTTTTAGATTTTGTTTTTTAAGAAGTTGATATGCTTGCCTGACATTTGTCTCATTAAAACTTTTCTATGTCGAATCCACCTGATCCAGTTTTACTTGCATTGTAATGAAAAAAGAAGACCTGCCTCTGCTTTTTCCTCTTAAAGCCTCTGTCAACCCTACATTCATCACAACTATTAGGCTTTGAAAACAGTAACACATTCATTTTACTAATTGCTTATTCAAAATGTGTCTTCACCTGTTTGAGATTTCAGTTCTTTGAATGTATGTTATAACAATACAATGAGTTTTAATTCATTTTAATGTGGCAGTAGCATTCTGGAGGTGACTTGAAGGAGCCTTTTAAGTCAGTGACTCTGAAGTCCCCTTGAGGAAATCTTTTGACAGAAGGGGTAAGTTGTGCTTAAATGCTTGGTTTGTTTTTTGTTTTTTTTTTAAATAACCGCTACTTAGCCATTCAAAATATTTTTAAAAGATGTTTGTCACCTATTTCTACCACGCTTTTACAATCTACAGGGGAAGGCAACCTGGCTTCCAGGGCCTACTGTTCTCCAGGTAGCCAGTCATCTGGCATTGAGCAAGTCTCTCTTTTGTTTCAACTCCATCTTGCCCCAGAACACATGCCCCAGCTCTCCTCCAGTATTGTTGGAGGGATAGAATTAGGCAGCAGAAGTCACCGCGCTTCAGAAGATTGGACGTGTTTTTTATGTGATGCCAAGAATGATCGGCATATCAGAGTTATGATTTCGGTTCGACCACATTTAACAAAACCCCAAATAAGCATTAGCTTAAATAAGAAGCAGATCTCTCTCAGAGAAATGTCCACACCAGTCCAAGACTAGTGTGGAGGCTCCCGTTGGCACTATAACATGGTTTTTCTCAAGGTCACCTCATGGTCCAAAATAGCCCCTTGGCCAGTAGCCATCACTTTGAAATTCCTGGCAGCATGAAGACAAGGCAAGGACAAAACGGGCAGGCCTAGATTAGTTCCAGGACTCTTCCTAGAAATCATAATCAACACTTTCACTTAATTTGGCCAAAACTCAGTCACATGACTGTAGCTAGCTGTAGGGGAGACTGAAAAATGTCATCCTTGTGTGGACATTACTGTTAATATTAGTAATACACAAGTTTTAGTAAAGGAGCAGGTGAAGATGAATATACTTTTACAACTCGTTTGACTCCATTAAGCCCAGCCCCACCATATTAGTTAACAGAATGTATTACCTTTCCTTTGCCTCTTGGCCATCTGAAAATGACCACTTCCTTGTTTTCTGGATGTTGAAAAAGAAACCCAAAAAACTAGCTTGGGGGCCTGAGTTGGCATTTCCTGTTCCTACCTTAGCTCCTCCCCTACCGGTCAACAGCTGGCAGCCAGGCTTGTTTGGTAAAAGTCAACACAAACAGGTGGTAATACTTCCTCCAGTTGTTTGTGCCCTTTCTCTAACTGTTCTGCATCTGCTGGATTAAAACAACACCAGGATAATCTTTCCCTAAGGTGGGGGATATTGAGAGATTGTTTGGCAGTAAAGTTCATAGCTACTTCCTGCTCTCTGAAAGAATTTCCTGCCTTGCAATTGAGAGTTCCAAGATGAGCTTTTTCTTTGTTTTATTTATTTACCTTTGACACATAGCCTGTGCTCAAATACATACTTTACAATATCTGTAGATATAAACACCGGCTCATACACTAGCTCATAAAAGGGGTGGGGACTGAGTCAGGAAAGATCCAGCGAAAATGTTAATGTCTATTCATTCAACTGGAATGGGAATATGTGCCTTCAGAGAGAAACTTTCACCAGATATAGAAATGTACGGTCTCTAAGCCCAGCAAAACACAGAAAGAAGGAGCTACTAGAGTGTAGGCATAGCACGGAAAAATTAAGATCAGGCAATGCCAATTTTCTAGACAGGACTTTTGTAATCGCCAGCAACACTAGGTCAGTGGGAAGGTCCAATGGTTACAAGGCTAGGGGTTCCCTTGTTTGTATCTGCAACAATCCCACCAACACTGAAGAGCCAGAACTAAACAGTTGCACTATTTGGACTATAAAAAAGTGTTTGTAAAACATGGTTTCTGATAGTCCAATAGGAAAAATACAAAGTACATAAATAGTTCTTAAACTGAGTCCTCCCCCATCCACACCCCTCCCATTTACTGGGGATTGAACCCAGAGGTACTTTACCACTGAGCTATACCCCTAGTGTTTTTTTGTTTTGTTTTGTTTTGTTTGTGAGGCAGAGTCTCACTAAGTTGCCCAGGCTGGCCTCAGCCTGGAACTTGAGCTCCTCCTGCCTCAACCTCCCAAATCAGTGGGATTACATATATGGGCCCCCTCATCCAGTTTTTTTTTGTTTGTTTGTTTTGTTTTTGCTACTGGTATTAGAGTAAACCCAGGAGTGCTTAACCATTGGGCCACATCTCTAGCTTTTTTTTTTTTTTTTTTTTTTTTTGAGACAGAGACAAGTTGCTTTGTCACTAAATTACTAAGGCTGGCCCTGAGCTCAGGATCCTCCTGCCTCAGCCTCTTGAGTGGCTAAGATCATAGGTGCACACCACCACACCTGGCTGCCCAGCTATTCTTGCTTGTATTAAGAGTTTTAATAAAGGTTTTTTGTGTGGTTAGTTTTTTTTGAATTGTGTGTGTTGCATACCAGGGATCAAACCCAGGGCCATGACTATGCTAGACAAGTGTACTAACCCTGAACTATGTTCCCATCCTCAGGTAAAAAAATTTTAAGGAGTGAAAGAATTACTTGTATCTTGCCTGACACTAGAGGGTTTATCTATAAGTTCAAAAGGGAGTAGATCAGAGTCTTGGGGGATTAGTAACTTAACTAATAAATACTTTTTCTGCAATATAAGCAAAATTTATATTGTGGAGATGGGGATATTGAGAGATTGTTTGGCAGTAAAGTTCATAGCTACTTCCTGCTCAACCCAGGACCTGGCACATGCTAAGCAAATATTCTAGCACCTACCCCAACGGCAGAGTTCTTAGGTGGTTAAATCAGTGAATCCATGGAAAATGCATAAGAGTAGAAAACACATAAATATAAATTCACAGTTTATGTAAGACTCAGGAATAAAAGAAACAATTAGACACACCCTGTAGGTGAAGCACTCTGTTCTGTTTTTTATACAAATTATGTCATTTAATTCCTATAACTTTACAGAGTAGGATTACTATACCCACTTTGAATAAAGATTCAGAGATGATAAGTAACTTACACAGTTATACAATTAGAAACAGGTAGAGAAGGATTCAGCCCCAGATTATTCTATTCCACGCCACTGTAACTGCGCTATCTTGGAGGTGTCTGGTGAGTTTGGTAGGAGTTGACAGCAGCAGCCTAGTATGGTGGCTTTGAGAGCTGGAATTAGATGTATTCGTCCAACAATATGTGTTGAACTTCTCTCTGTATCAGGAACTGTTCTAGGTCCAGGGAGCTTGTATCCTGCTGGGGGAAAAGAGAGGGTTAAAAGATGACCTAACATACTCACTTCAGCCACTTACCAAGATGGAATGGTACAAGCTAGGGTCCAGGAAAGGCATTTTTGAAAAAGTATCTTTCAAGGCTGAGACAGGAGGACCATTGAATTCAAAGCTGGTGTCAGCAAAAGCGAGGTGCTAAGCAACTCAGTGAAGCTGTGTCTCTAAAATACAAAACAGGGCTGGGGATGGGGCTCAGTGGGCAAGTGCCCCTCAGTTGTTCAATCCCCAGTACCAAAAAAAAAGAAAAAGCATCTTTCAAAGAAGGACCAGGTCAATTGGACAAAGCCAGTCCCGTGAGAGGCCAAAGGAACAGGAAGCCCACAGTCCCAAGACAGGAAATAGCTCTGGAATTCCAAGGAAAAGGAAAGAGTTGGAGAGGCTAGAGCCTAATGCATGGGAGGAAACGCAACTTGGAGCTGCAAGATGCGCAAATTGCATGGAGCCCTTTAAGATGACAAAGAGCTTGAAGTTTCCTGTAAGTGTGTTGTGCAGAGGGCTCTACACCAGTGACTAGATCAGATTTGTAGTTTTAAAGGATCCCTTGCTGCGGGGAGGCAAGAGAAGAATTGGGAGACTGGTCAGAAGGTTGGTGCAGAAACCCAGTAGGAAGTGGCAGCAGCTTAGCCTAGAGCAGTGGCAGTGGGGGTAGAGAAGAGGAGCTGGATTCAGGGTATGTTTTGGAAATACAATGGACAGAAGTTGCTAAAGCACTGGATGTAGAGATCAAAAGAAAAGGAATTTGGAATGATTCTAGCTGATAATGAATTCCACTGTTATGTATAATTATAATACACTAACGAAAAATGTTTTGTTTTGGGTACTGGGGATTGAACTCAGGGACACTCAACCACTGAGACACATCCCCAGCCCTATTTTGTATTGTATTTAGAGACAGAGTCTCACTGAGTTGCTTAGCCCCTCACCATTGTTGAGGCTAGCTTTGATCCTCCTGTCTCAGCCTCCCAAGCCACTGGGATTACAGGCGTGCACTACTGTGCCCCGCTCAATGAATTTTTTTTTTTTTTTAAATGATTCCTGCTGGGGCTGTAGCTCAGTGGTAGAGCACTTGCCTGGCATGTGTAAGGCCCTGGGTTCAATCCCCAACACCACAAGAAACTGGGGGGAGAAAAAAAATGGCTCCTACTTTTTGGCTTGAGCAGCTGGGCAGTGGCTAGAGGTGCCAATGCTTGAGAGAGCAGATACTTAAGGACAAAATATGGAGAACAGATCAAGAATTCCATTTTGGACTGGCTAAATTTCAGATTCCACCAGAGGATTAGCCCCTGGGGAACACACTTCAATCTCTCTGCTATCAGTTCAAAAAAATTCCTTTCAGCTCTTAAGTCCCATGGTTCCACGAGATTCTAACTTGAGGTCAGTATTTGCTAACATTCCTTCCATGATCAGCGCCTGCGCACACACATAGACCCAGTTACTCAAGCTGCTCATTGAACTATGAAATTAAAGAACAGTCTCCTTTTTAATTTTGCAAGCTCCTTAGGAAAAGAAGTTTTGAAGCCTTGCATCTGCATTTGTTTAAGAGTGGCAAAAAGCAGCTGAATGATGTAGGATATAAAAATCATACCATAACCTGATGGCTCAAAAATCCTGGGATAAGTAATGGAAAGTGTCTGCTTAGAGGAGACTGGCTGCAAATATATTTGGCATCATTCAAAGAAGGGTAATGTGAGAAGACATCAGTGATACAGCCAAGAGGTTTCTCATCTCAGCAAACGGGCTGCTGCTAAGGGGCTTTTGCCTTCTTCAAGGCAGCTGAGGCCAGACAGCAGAATGTGAGATGAAAACATTCCATTTTTCTTGGGGGCTGGTGAATTCTTTAAGTGAACTTATATTTATCAAAAGAAGTTCCTATTCCTAAGGACAGACTGATGGGTCATTTTGGATTTTACTCATCCCTCAGGAGAATATTTTAGATATATTCATTCATTCAGGCATTTCCATGTATTTGCTACTTTTGAGGTATAAATTTGAGGAAATCCCTCTCCTCAGTGAGCTCACAATATAACAAAAAATAGATACAAAATCTAACTACAGTTGAGTCTGATAAGCAGTCAAACAGCTGTGAGCAAAATGTTCTGGAGAACAGAGGGAAAAATTCAGTGGTTGTGTTTGGCAGAGGTCAAAAGAAGGCTTTAGCAGGATAACATTTTGAGCTGGGCCCTAGAACAAGAATAGTTCTTTAAAAGAAGCTAGAAATAGACCTGGAAATATGAATGCCTTGTTGGCGTATTCTCAATAATTGTGACTGGGACACAGGTTATATCCAAGGGATGGATTAAAAATAAAGGCAGTGAGGTGTTTTTCTTTTTTCTTTTCTTTTCTTTCTTTCTTTCTTTTTTTTTTTGTGTGTGTGTATGTGTGTTTTATTTTTATTTATTTATCATTAGTAGTTGTAGATGGACAGAATGCCTTTATTTTATATGTTTACTTTTTTTTTTAGAGAGAGAGAGAGAGAAATTTTTTTTTAATATTTATTTTTTAGTTATCGGCGGACACAACATCTTTGTATGTGGTGCTGAGGATCGAACCCGGGCTGCACGCATGCCAGGCGAGCGCGCTACCTGCTTGAGCCACATGCCCAGTGCCTCACACGTGCTAAGCAAGCACCCTGCTGCTAAGATACAGCCCCAGCCCATCAGTGAGGTGTTTTGAAAAAGGATTGTAAAGGGGCCTTGAATGCCATGCTGAAGGATTTAGCTTTTATTTTGTAGTCACCAAGGCTGGTTTTGCAAGACAGTAACATGAGATAAAAAAAAAAAAAAACTAGACTAGAGGTTCTTAATATTTTTTCTGCCGTGAACACCTTTGGTAATCTAGTGAGGCCTGTGGGTCCTTCTAAGAAGTTTCTTTGTTTTGGTTTGATTTGGGTTTTTTGCAGTAGTAAGGATTGAACCCAGGGTCTCACATATGCTAGGCAAGTGCTCTATCACTGGGTCACATCCCCAGCCCACAGTAGTGTTTTTTGTTTTGTTTTGTTGTTGTTGTTGTTTTAACATTTTTTAGTTGTAGATGGACACAATACCTTTATTTATTTTTATGTGGTGCTGAGGATAGAATCCGGTGCCTCACCAGTGCTAGGCAATTGCTCTACTACTGAGCCACAACCCCAACGCCCCCCCCAATGTTTTTAAGTACTTAAAACACAAATAAAGTTACAAAGCAAGTCCACTATGTTGAAATATAGTTACCAAAAGTAATAAAAATGCAGTACAGCCAGGTGCAGTGACGCACACCTGTAATCTCCGTGATTTGAGGCAAGATGATTGCAAGTTCAAGGCCAGACTCAGCAATTTAGCTAGACCCTAGGCAACTTCATGAGACCTCATCTCAAGATAAAACATAAAAAGGGCTGGGGAATGTGGCTCAGTAGTAAAGTACCCCTGGGTTCAATCTCCAGCACCAAAAAAAAAAAAAGTGTTATATAGACATATTTGTGCTTCTTTAAAAAAACATTAAATTGGGGCTGGGGATGTGGCTCAAGTGGTAGCGCGCTCGCCTGGCATGCGTGCGGCCTGGGTTCGATCCTCAGCACCACAAACCAACAAGGATGTTGTGTCCGCCGAGAACTAAAAAATAAATATTAAAAAAAAAAAAAACATTAAATAACATAATTAGACAATACTCTAATAGTGATCATAATTTTAACGTACTAATGATCATAAGTGATATTTCAACATCGCTGTAATGTGGTATGAAAATACCTGTGATTCTATTAATGGCAAAGCCCAAAATTCCCGCTGATACTATTGGGATTTGTTGGCAACATTTATCATCAAAGGAAATGCAACTTTTCAGGTCCAGGTTTATGAAAATCAAGATGTAACTTTCCTATCCATGCTTGTGGTCCCCAGGGTCAGTGCTCTTGAATTCAAGGCAGGGAGGAGACACTGGATAGGAGATTGATAAAATAGGACAATAGCCAGGCATGGTCGTGCATGTCTGTAATCCCAGCGGCCTGGGAGGCTGAGGCAGGAGGATCACGAGTTCAAAGCCAGCCTCAGCAAGGGCAAGGTGCTAAGCAACTCAGTGAGACCCTGTCTCTAAATAAAATACAAAAAAGTGCTGGGGGTGTGGCTCAGTGGTCAAATACCCCTGAGTTCAATCCCCTGTGCCAGAAAAAAAAAAAACTAAGAAGAAGACCTGTGACGGGAACAGAGCAGAGTTTGTCTTGGTCCCTCCTGGCCCGGATGGAAATCCCTCTACAGGGACCTGTAGTAACATCCGGCTGAAGCAGTAAGCCATCATTAAACCTTCAGGCAACTCTCCTCAGACACAGCCTGGTGTCCTGAATTTGTACAGCTGCTATTGACCCCCCTCTTTGGCAGGCATGGGGAACCCAACAAAGCGGACATGGCCATGCTGTCATGGTGCTTACTCTCTAGTGGAAGAAAAGGGTCTAACAAACGGAAGCGGACATCATATCCCCACCTGGGCTGCAGGCAGGAAAGCGGTGGTGCTGTTCAAGGAGCATGTTGGCCGGAGATAGGAAGGCCTCTGAGGAAGCCATGCTCAGGGGGGGGTCAGGGAAAGAAGGTGAAGGTCAGCTTTCCTCGGTGCTTTAGAGGAGCTGAAAGGAAAACAGGGGAGTTAGACCAGAGAGGTGGGTGAAAAGTGGGAAGAGGTGGGTAGGCCTAAGACTGCAAGGTCATCCCATCCTCAGGATTTGGGATGTTCTGAGTACAGGGGGAAACTGTTGACGCTTTCAAGGAGAGAAGTGATATAATCCAATTTATAGCTTTAAAAAATTCTTGCGGGCCAGGGATGTAGCTCAAGTGGTAGAGCATTTGCCCAGCATGTGTGAGGCCCTGAGTTCCAGGCCCAACGCCACAAAAAAAATAAAAAATAAAAAGAAAATTCTTCCAGCTACTCTGCAAAGAGCAGATGGTAGGGAGCAGACACGGAAATAGGGAGATAGTGGTGCTGTGGCTGTGTCCCGCTAGAGGTGGCACTGGCCTGGACTGAGGCTGCAGTGGTAAAGGAGAAATGGGGGTGGGGTGGGGGTAAAGCACCCTTGGAAGAATGAACAAGATAAAGAAGAGGGAGGTGGGGAGGCTGCAGGTGGAAGGGAGGGAGAGAGCAACTGTGGAGGAACTGTGAGGCCTGGAAGGGGCAGACAGGGTAGGAGTGACCCAAATCAGAGATCACTGTGGCAGGCAGGCTCATTTGAGATGCAGGGGTGTAAGTATGAGTAAGTATTTTTTATTGACAATCTGACAATTGAGAACTTAAAAGCTAGGTCTAGACGTAGGATGACATTTACCAAAAATTCCAAAGAAGGTTTTTTGTGTGAAAAAAAAACTGACTTTGCAGGCAGTCAGACCCCATCAACTTCTACCAACAGTTCACTGTCTTATCCTTTGCTTTACTGCCAACCTCGACAATTCGTCCTGCCCTTGATACCAGAACCACATCTGGACCAGGTGCAACTTTTCTCTCGGTTTAAATCAGATGGCATCTCTACAGTTGTTCAGAGCATTTACTAACATAGGTTTCCTGCACGGAATTCTGCAGGGGGAAGCTTTACATCTGTAAAGATGCTAGACATTCCTTCCAGTGAAGCAATCCCTGCTTATCTTGGCTGATTTCATAATAAATGTGACTGAGAACTGGATGAAAATACAGGACAGACCAAGTGCATTGCAGCAACTAAAACATGCTAATAACATAGAGGAAAGGGTAGAGATTACAGAAAATTATAAATTGTGATCATGCACAAGGAGGGGTTTCACTGCAGCCTGAAAACTTGACCTGCAGCTAAACAGGGCCAAGATTAATCATGACTTGATCTTATACATAAGCTGAAAGATCTTTTCTAAAGATCATGTCCATTAAAGCAGTAAAGACATTTTTTGCAGGATATGCCATAATGAGCTCCAGGCATTTAATGAGAGACAAATGCTACTGTTGAAAGCGTAACCTTCTGATCTGATCTGATCTGAAACTGAAGTGGGCATGCTTGCTCTGCAAAACCAGGCCCCAGTTGTGTCTGCCAGTTGACAAGGAGGCTCATGTTTTTAGATGCTCTGTTGCAGTCAAACATCAAACCTTCTGGGAGAGGTTTTTGTTTTGTGATTAGGTAAGGATTTTACATGTAAGGAGCAAGCAGCCAGCCCCACGCTGCAGGACCAATAGCTTCCAAAGACAGAAAAGTAAAATACAGCATCAAGTAACAAACAAACAAGAGAGCTTGATGGCATGCCCCCAAAGCTTCTGGAGGAACCTGAGGCATTCAGAGGCAAGGAGCTCTCAGCTTCCACCTCTCAGAATGGTGGCTTCAGGTGAGGGTAATCGCCCGGCGAGGAAATATCACCAACAGGAAAAAAGTGTCATGTTGATCAACCTACTTTCTTTTAGCCTTCAGATGTCTCTCCCTCATTCAAGAATTTGTGTGATGTCCTCTCAGCTCTTACTTTGATATGTGGAAAGGCTTGGGTACAGTCCAGGGGCAGCTGACCTGCCAACAGGATGCTGCCTCATGTCCTGAATCTTACCACCAACTCCTGCCTTGATTGCTGCACCAGCTTCCTCTTGCAATCCCAAGGGTCAGAGGATTGGAGGGGCAGGACAGGAATAGAGTATGGTCTCCCAGGCAGAAATCTTTTAGAATGCCTGAGCCTCAGCTTGTTGGCCATGGGTCTGCCTTTCTGGTTAGGAGGAGGGGACCTCCCGTCTCCCTCCAAATGTCCCTGTCTTAAACCCATGCAGTACAAAACAAGCCAGTTCATTGTGTTCTTGGATATAAATATTGATTCTGGGTGATGTTAACATTCTGTTCATAAAAGAATGTAACATATTTCTCCCACACCATATTAGACTGATGTGTTGTTTGGCCAAGGGAAGTACAGATTGCTGGCTTCTGCAGGGAAATGTGGACATTTAAATGCATGCAGCTTTTGGAAGTCTGGGGAGCAGTCTCAGAATAGCAACCAGGGCCTTTGGCTGGCTCCAGCTCCGTGCTCCTCCATCCAGTCTCTCCCTTCCCCCATCTCCATGTGCGTGTTGCTTTGGCATTTCTAATCACTTGTAATTTAGGAAGATGCTTTCTTGGAATTATATCTTTGTTTGTTAAGGAAATGTGGGGCATTTGCTTTCTTCAGGAGGCCCCAGAAGGTCAGAACCAAACATTTTAGTTTTCTTCCCCTGGGGAAAAAAATCTGGGAGGTCTCCTCCTGTTTTTCTCCCCTCTCCACGTGGGAGGGGAGGGCAAAGGCTTCAGAGCAGAGGTGGTCCCTCCAAGCATTCCACCCAGGCCAGACCAAGTCCAAGACTCAGATGTGCTGACTGCCTTGGCAAGGCAAGTTCCCCACATTCCACAAGTGCTCTTGAGGGGGAAATCTAACTCAGGAGAAAGTGGAGCTCTTGATGGGTATGCATGCTCTCTCGCATGCCAACGCATCGCACAGACAGATCCCCGGCCGGTATTTCGGTATTTCTCCAAGGGAGTGGTAGAGCTCCTTTCCAGATGTGGCAGAGAAGCCTGGGACAGTGCTGTCAGGAGAGCCAGCGCCCTCTGCTGTCCTGGCAAGGAAGCTCCTCAGCAGTAGGAAAGAACCCCAGGGGTTCTGGAAAGCCAGGAGCTCTGTTAAAATCCACAGCCAACCCAGCTCCGTGGAGGAGGCCTGGAGCTCCTTGCTGTTCACACCGTGAGCTTGCACAGGACTGGTTCCCCTCCATCTAGCTGGATCTTGATGTTTTGTGGCTGTGAACGAGCCAGAAATGATGAGGGTTTACATTAAAACCCCAAACTTCCGTACAATCTGCTGGGCCGGGGTCCAAGAAGGTGGGGAGCAGTGGCGCTGTCTCCTCCCCAGGAACCCGGCCAGTGGGCCCGGGCAAGGTGAGACAATGGGGGCAGCTTGCCCAAGAAGAGCAACCCCATACTCAGGGTTGACAGGCAGCCCCGCGCCACGCCCTGGCCTGGAAGGCAGTTTCTAGAGGCCTGGCTGCTCCGAGGCTTCCAGCTGAGTGGAAGCTGCAGCTGCTCCCATTCAGGCATGCTGGCATCTCCCAGGGGCCTCAAGAGCTGGCACAACCCAGATATTGGCTCAGCTTACAAGCTAAGACCCAGCTGCCACCCCCTCTGCCCTGCTGACTGCCAAGACGGCAGCTCCACAGCAGTCGGGCTGGGCTTGCTGCTGCAGGAGTGCGTGTGTGTGTGTGTGTGTGTGTGTGTGTGTGTGTGTCTGTGTGTCTTCACCAGAAGCGGGTGCATGCTGGTGAAAGGCCAGGTTGGGGGGTGAGGGGGGGCAGCGAACCCATTCTTCCACAACCTTTCAGTTTTGCAAGAAAAGGAAGCGTAAAACAATCCATTTTTGTGTTTGGGGAAGGTTTCCGTTCTATTTATTTATTTATTTTTGGTAAACCGATCTCCTCTCTGCTGGGAGATGAGAAAGCCCAATCCACCCAACAGCCCTTTAACAACAATGCCCTTCTCTCTCTGGGACCAATTTCCAGACTGCAGAGCAGTCCTGACAAGGTCAACAGGCTGGAGCTGTGAGCGGAAGATCTTTATCTAGGTGGGAAATAGGAAAATCATTTGACTGATAAAAGGAAATACAATAAATAGCATCTAAATTCCTGGCTGCGATCCCCGGAGCCCCTCCTCTGCCGGAGAAAGTGCAGGGGCAGGAATACTTGTGCTGCTCCAGCATGTTTAAAAATAGCACACGCGGCACACGGCCCCTTCTTACCTTCCAGAAAGACTTCATTACCGGATCCTCCAGCCCCAGCCTGCAGAGCCGCTGCTGGCGCTTTCTCCCCCCTGCGCTGGGTTTTTCTTTTTTGGAAGCGCGAGGCAGCGCGGGTGTGATACATTTTACTCACGGACCAGCTCCCGCTCAGCTCGTTTCAATCTAGGCACGTCTGGCGTGAACGGTGAAAGTCCATTGTATTTAATGGGGTGTTAACTCTGTTTATTCTAGGAGACTGGTGCCGTAATTTTACACTCTGCAAAACTAGCAACTTGAAACTCAAGTGCTGTTCCTCTCTCCCCCTGCCCACCCCCGTGGTCCGAAATCCCCAGACCCCTCTGGCTCTGCCAGCAGCGTTCCTCTAGCTCAGGCAGCCAAAGGAGGCCTGTGTGTGGTGGCAACTGAGAATTCTGGGGTGCACCTAGCTTTCTGGGCCTGTTAGCATTGGTGTGGCCTGGGGTAGATCTTTTAGAAGCTCATTGTTCTCATTATTAAATGGAGATTTCTAATCCGCCTCACTACCTAGAAATGCTGTTGACACATGACAATCGTGGGATGGAGAAACACCCCACTGGAGTCTCTAAAGACACTCATCCTCTGACTCCCAGCTGGGCCACTTCGACATCACCTCAGAAGCCATTAAACCTACAACCTGTCTGTCCACCAGAGACTCACAGATTTGAGCTGCATTGTAAAGGCCACTAATGAGACTGGGTCTTCATGGCACTTTTGTGATCTTCTATCTCCATTATTTCAGCTACTCTTTTAGAGCGGGGTGGGGCACTACTGGGGAGTGAACCCAGGAACACTTTGCTACTAAACTATATCCCCGGTTCTTTTTATTTTGAGACAGGGTTTCACTAAGTTGCTTAGGGCCTTGCTAAATTGCTGAGGCTGATCTCGAACTTGTGATCCTACTGCCTCGGACTCCTGAGTCCCTGAGATTACAGACATGTGCCACTGCACCCAGCTTCACCTTTCTTAGTTGGTGTTCTACCCTAAGGGCCTGACCCTACAAGGTGCTAAATACATAAACAACTAGACGGTCTCTTTGAACTCTAAATCTTAGAAACTCAACCAAAAGAAGGAAAAATACATGCTGTTCAGTCCCTGGTACCAAAAAAAAAAAAAAACAAAACATACATGTAGTAAATTATACCGTCTGTGTGAACAATGTCTTCCATTATTCCCATCTGATCTAAACACCTGATTCTTTGGGACCTTGAGGACCTTCCTGCATTCCTACTGCTCAAACATCAACTGGACCCCCGAGATCTTCTGGAGCTAGCTTTGCTTCCTGCACGTAGATGGCCCAGATCTAAACCCCGCCCAGCCCCTCTTTCTCTGGAGTTCCTGATCTCTATTTCCAGCTCCCTCAGGTCTTCACCATCTGGTGTCCTGCAGAATCCTCAACTTAATTCATTTAAAATTAAATACATATTCTCCCCAAGCCCATATCTTCTCCAGTATCCACCAGCTTAGTAAGAACTTCACTGCAGTTGGGTATGGTGGCGCACACCTGCAATCCCAGCTACTCAGGAGACTGAGGCAGGAGGATCAGAAGTCCAAGCTCAACCTCGGCAACTTAGTGAGAACCTGTCTCAAAGTAAAAAGAGCTGGGGATGTAGCTCAGTGGTAAAATGCCCCTGGGTTCAATCCTCAGTCCTGCCTTTACTTCTATTATCTCATTTAAGCCCTGGGAAATTTCTATAGGATAAGAATTGTCCCATTTTGTGGATGAAACTGAGACTTAGCTAGGTTTAAAGACCAAAGGTTATGTGGCAAACATACCTTTCAGAATTGAGATTTGAACTCAGCTCTGTCTTATATTGTAAAACCCATGTTCAAAGTCTTTAAAGTAGTAAGTTCAGTACCGGACACATACCAGGTAGACCAAGTTATTTTCTTTATACCCCCCACGCCCAGTCTTAAACTTTACCCTCTTTAACAAGGTACAGAGGCCTATTCCAACATGGGTGGCTTATCTCCCCAAATGCATCTCCTTTCACTCCCCGTGGCCCATCTCCAACACCACCAATCAGGCCACATCTGGCCACTCACTATTTCCCAATCTTTCCCTTTTCTTTCATATCTTTGTCTTTGCAATCCTCTTTCCCATGGGTCACAAGACTTTTTTTGTCCCTTTTCCATCCTTGTCTGCAAAGCACCAGGTCAGATAGCATCTACCCTGTGATACTTCTCCTGATCCTCCAAACCATTATCCATGGCTCCAACCTCCCTTTGCCAACGCCCCTTGTTACTTTATTTCTGCCTATTCTGTGCTGATTGTATTGGAGCATGGCTATCCGGGCCTTTCTCTGTGCTGTCCCTGTATCCTGGGAGCCTGGCAACATGCCTGGGATCCAGCAGGCACGCAGTAGAAGTTTGTTTAGTTCAATCCTTCATCCCTCCCTATGATGAATGCTTACTTCAACCATCTTGCAAAGGTTAGATGTCTCTGAATTGCTGCTGATGACATCTGTTCTCTCTGACTTCTATACCCACATCCCCATTGAAGCTGCTCTTGGCAAAGTCACCAGAGGCCTCTTATGTTACTAGGCCCCCCAGCCCTCTCTTGCCCTAACCCTCCTACTCTCAGCAACATGGAGCACAGCTGCCCCCCTTCTTCTGTGAGTCTCTCCTGGCTCCACAGCCTGTTGTATTCTCTGCCTCTTGACCTCTTTCCATCCCGCCTGTGACTTTTGGAAATGAAGTGCCTCAGGCTTGTCCTGGGCTCCTTTCTCCTGAATGACCAGCCTGTTCCCTACAGTTTAAAACACTGCCTCCACCTTCAGCTCTCAGCTCTAGATTCAAATATTTAATGACCTGCTTGACTTAGTTGCTACTTAGGTTTCAGGCTTAAAAGCCTAACAATTGACTGTCTCCGCTTTGCCCCGAAAGCCTTTCCTCTCTTGGTCCTTCCCTTTAGCAAAAGACACAATCGTGATCATGGGTCCTCTTCCTGGGAACTTGGCAGCCACTCTCTTGGAAGAAGAAGAAAGTGTCCTGGCAGAGAGGCGCAATCCAGGAATGTCCAAATATCGTGGATTCCAGCGTCTGACTTGGGCTTGGAAAAAGAACAGATTCTTTAAGCTAATATTTGATGCTCAGCAGGTTTGGAGGTTTGGCCCAAGCCCATCTCATCAGTCCCAGCTTTCATCTCAGCCCTAGATCAGAAATGGACAGACTGGTCCAAATCTGGCTCATGGTATATTTTTATACAGCCCATAAGCAAAGACTGTTTCTTATATGTTTTAATAATTGAAAACATACCAAAAGAAGAATAATATGTTGTGACACATGAAAATGATACATGCTGGGCACAGTGGCAAACGCGTGTAACCCCAGCTACCCGGGAGGCTGAGCCAGAAGGATCGCAAGTTCCAGGCCAGATTGGGGCGGGTAAGCTCAGTGGGAAAGTGCCCCGGGTTCAATCCCCAGTCCACACACACAAAAAAAAAAACTACGATGAAATTCACATTTCCGTTTCTATAAAATAAAGTTGTATGGAACAAAACCACACTTGTTTGTTTATTAATAACCCACCTGTGCTTTCATGCTGCAAGGGCAGAGCTGAGTAGTTGAGCCCAGAACTTACAACCTTCAGAGCCAAAAATATTGACTCTTTGGCTTTCTATTAAAAAAAACAAAAAAACTTTACCAAACCCTGCTCTAAGCCAGCTCCCTGTCCCCTAAACATACCTTGCAAACTTCCAGTTTTATACAAATTGATCTCTGTTCCTCTGTCTGTCTGAATTCTACTCACCTTCAGGCCTTACCAACCCAGCCTCTTCTAGAATCTTCCATCCCTGCTCCATCCAATGGTTTCTCTTCCTTAGTAATAACTAATGGTGGTGACTTAACCACCCAGGGCCTTTTCTGAGGCATCTGTCATGTGTCTTGTCCCGGTTGGGAGCAACATGAGGAGAAGGATGGTGGCTTGTATCCCGGGCCCAGGGAAGGCCTACATCATGAAAGTAGATGTCAATAAACTCTTTCTGAATGGGCTCCTCTTTTCTGCCATTTCCCCTATTTAAGTCTGAGAGCTATCTCCCTACTGTATTCACTTAGGTACTCTCTTTTAAGGAAAAGGCAAATTTCACCCAAGTTTCCTCCAGCTGAGCACCATGAGGTGCTACCAAGAAGAGGCATGGAGTTTCGAGGGCAGCTTTAGGAGAATGCCCGGGCTCCTGGGGGGCAGTGAGGTGGAGCAAGCCCCAGGCTCTGGTGCCAGCTCAGACACTGGCATCGGTTTGGCTATCCTCTGTTTCATCATCTGTAAAATTGTCAAGTGAAACCTGGATACTGCTTGAGCAGAGGAGCCCCTGAAATCCTCCCCAGCTCCAAAATCTAAGGATTGTGTTTTCCTCAGGGCAATGAAAATCTCCAAGCTCACCTCCCAGGAGAAGCAGCCTTGTGAACCCCAACCGGCCCCCCCTTCAACAGCAGCCTCTCAAGAGGCCCTCTTATGCCTGTCCCTTACTTAAGCAGCCCAGCAACCCTGGAGGACAGGCATTATTATCTCCATTTGGCAGATAGGAAAATGAGACTCAAAGAGGAGAAGCGACTTGCCCAAGCAGGGACAGCGTGTCACGGGACTCCAGAGGTGTCATATCAGTGTGTGTGAGATGCTCCCTAGGACCATAATATAGCCATGATTCTCAGATTTTGATGTTTGACTCACTGGAGATCTTGTTAAAAACAGATTTTGATTCAGTCGCCCGGGGGTAGGGCCCAGGATTCTGTATTTCTAACAAGCTCCTATATGATGTGGATGCTGATGATCTCTCGACCCCACTTTGCTTGTCAGGGAGTGTACAACCTGTGCAGCTGTATACAGCAGCCCTGCCAAGCACAGAGCTCAAATGTAGCAGAAGTGAGGTGTGATGTCAGGTCTTTGAACTCAAAGTCCAAGACTTCACGAAAACCACTTCCTCTCTGGGAATGTGGGTGTCTGGGAATCTAGAAGAAGCTTGAAAAGGAGAAACTGAGGTCTGTCCTGCTGGCCTCAGCAGAGGTCCTTTGGAGCACACATAAGTAGACGTCTGCAGAAGTTTGAGGCCCTGAGGGAACCAGAGGGAGCCAGGGGACCGCACACCTAGCCTGGTGGCAACCTAGGGCTGGAGAAATGAGGCAAGGCAGCTGGGCTCCTGGTCTGCAGCTCCCGGGGTGGGTGGCTAATGAGCAGGGCGTTCTTCCCTGCAGGTGCTGGGAAGAGGGATGAGGCTGGCCAAGAGAGAGAGAGTTGAAGCTGCAGCCTGGGAGG